GGGATGACCATGTGAGGACTCAGGGAGAAGACCACCATCCTTAGAAGGAACCGACCCTGCCGACACCTTGATCTCTGACTTTTGGCCTCTAGAACCGTGAGGAAATCACGTCTGTTGTTTGAGCCTGGCCTGTGTTGCTACAACGGCCTGGGCGTACTAGTACACCGGGGCAGAGCGGCGGGCTTGGGGGGTTTTCCTTGGGACGCTTTTGCTTTGTGATGTCTGTGAGGTAGGTGCTCAACGGGAGACGTCTGGGGAAGATGTGGGGGAGGCCAGGGCTGCAGATGCTGTGGCTCAGGGATGTGACTTCTGTGACAACACACAGGGCCCGTGGGGCAGAATGGCAGAGTCGGTGAGGCCCGCAAGCATGCTCAGGACAGGCCCTGCCATCCAGCTGTGGGTGTCCTGGGCCCTGCCGTGGGCTCAGCCATGTGCCCAAGGTCCCTCAGCCAGACCTCTGGAGCCCACCAGGGGCCGGACAGACCGAGGGGGGTGAATGTGTGTGGGCCCCACTGTAATCGTGTCAGTGGACCCTGCATAGGGTTCCCTGGGTGACACGCTTCCCGTCTGAGCAGCATTTCCTCATCTGTAGTGCTGACCCCTAGGATGTTGTGAAGACAAAGTAAAGTGAGTGTCTGTGAGGTGCTACGCAAGTGCTGCCATATTATTAACCTAAAAGCTGGAGATATCCAGCACGGAGGGTTGCCCCCAAACAGGCCTGAGGAGGAGTGATTTTGGGCGAGGATGGGGGCAGTAGGGGGCAGAGGTGTCCTGGGCAAAGGTGAGGAGAGGGGGGGCTTCGGGAAGCTCTGCCGGGCTGCCTGAGAGGAGCTGCGCCCATTGGAAGGACACAGCCACCTGCCAGTGACCCGCAGGGGACAACTCCAACTGCATGTCCCCATATCCTTATCCGTTACCAGTGCCTTCCACCTGCCAAATCCTCTTGGAAACCAAAAGGCCCCTGTTGGCGGCCTGTGCAGAGGAGCCTCTGGGGACCCCGAGCAGGGGCCGCAGGGCAGAGAGGGATCTGGAGGGGCCAACACAGGATGTCTAGCACACAGGCACCATTTGCCTCCGTTATAAACACAAAAGAGACAAGCATATTATTCACAGTTAGGTCCATATGAAAACCAAAACAGAGATGATGAGTGAGACTGAGGCCAAGTGGAATTTTACTTTTTATTTCCTGCCTTTCTGTGGGGCTTGAACACTAAAACAATGCACGGGCGTTGTTTTTTAAAAGAATTATTCAAATGAATGGCCTGGATGTCAGTCCAAGGGCTTGGGCTTGCATCTGTAAGGGGACAGAGAGTCCACATCCTTGGTTCCATCAACAACAACGTGGCCACTGTTTCATAGGCTTTCTTGCACCTTCTGGCTGAGCACGCCCTGGAAGGCGTCCTCTCCAAGGGGCCTGGACACATGCTTCTCAGCAGCGCTGCTCCCTCCTCCCCAGGTAGAGCTCCTTGCTGCCCTGGGACAGCTTGGTGATCTTCGGCCCTGCCATCATCCTGCTGCCCTGGGGGCTGTGTGCCAGGGTTCCCATTTCGCAGCATTGCCCAGGGCTGATAACTGCCCCTTCTCGGTCTCTCTACTTCTCCAACGCCTTTTCCCATCTACTACTGTATTTGCTCCTCCAACAACCCTGTGAGGCAATTAGGGTGGCACCCATTTTGTAGATGAGCAAACTGACATTCTGAGAGGCAAACTAACTTGCCCAAAGCTTGCCCTAGAGGTAAGCCCCTCTTCTGTTGCTGGGGCCTTTGCAACAAGTCAGAGCTGGACAGGTGCCAGGGACTCAGGCCCTTTTCTATGTGAGATGATGTAGAAATAGGAAGGAATTAATTTAGAGGGAAAGTATGTTAGAGGTTTTCACTGGTGTGAAGAGAAATGTCTCTTTTTCTTTATCATCTCTGTTTGGAAGAGCACTAGCTGGCTTCCTTTTCTCCTTGGCAGGGAATTCCAGTAACAGATTCTCCCCACTACACTGGGAGCGGTATGGCCTGGGGTGAATTCAGTTACTTAGGCAGCCAGAGTCCCCATTCACTCATTCGTTTGTTTATTTACTCAACACAAATTTACTGAACCTGTACTACATTCTGAACACCATGCCAAGAAGGACAGACATGTGAGACATGGTCTAGCCTGGAGGTGGGAAATAAGGTTTTTATGGGACTATGTCCTCTACAAAGTTAAGTCTGAGCTGATATTGAAGGATGAAAGGAGTTAACCAGGTGTTGGAGGGAGGAGGAGAATGAACCAGAGAGGCACTCTGTACAAAGGCAGTCCTTGGAAACTAGCTTGGGGATGTTCTGGGTCTCTTTGAGAGGAAAACTGGTCTAATTTCTCTAATGACCAACTTCTTAACTCATTTGGGGTAGGTTCCTCAGTCCTGTTTAATTCTTCTCAGGCTGACCCTGTTTGCTTTAAGTCTTTCAGAAATTCATTAATTCAACAACTGAACACTTACTGTGTGCTTGGTGCTAGAGATATGAAGGGAACAAATGGACAGAAATCACTGCTTTGGTAGAGCTTGCATTCTACTGGAGGAGACCAAAAACAAACAAAATAAAATGTAAAATGTATAATACATTAGCAGGGAATAAATGCCAATAAAAAAGTTAAACAAGATAGGGAAATAGGAGCTTGTTAGGGAGTGGTTAGGGAGTAGGGAGCTTGTTAGATTGGGTGGTTAAGGCAGGGCTCCCAGAGAAGATAACATTTGAATAAAACCCTGAAGGAGGGGAGGGAACCATGTAATTGGTGGGGAAACAGTCTGTATAGGCAGTGGGAACAGCACATTCAAGGGCCCTGGGGTAGGTGCCTGGTATGTTTGAGGGACTGCAAGGAGGCCAGTGTGGCTGGAGTGATGTAAGCAAGGGGAAAGGAGTAGAGAGTATGGTCAGGGATGTAATGGGGGCTGGGGTAGGGCATTGCAGGCTATGATAGCTGGGCGCCACTGGAATATTCTGAGTCAAGGAGAGACATGATCTGACTCAGGTTGTAACAGGAGCATCTTGGCTGTCCTTCAGTTTTCTTCCCCCCACAGTTTTATTGAGACACAATTGACATGCAGCACTGTATGAGTTTAGCATGTACAACATAATGGCTTGACTCACATATATTGTGAAATAATTACCACAGTAAGTTTAGTTAGTAGCCATCACCTCATATAGATATAAGGAAAAGCAAAAAAAGAAAAAAAAATTCCTTCTGGTGAGAATTCTTGGGATCTACTCTCTTAATAACTTTCCTGTATATCACACAGCAGTGCTGAACGTCCTGTTGTACCTGACGACCCCAGGGCTTACTTATCTTACACTTGTAAGTTTGTCCCTTTCTACCACTTTTCCAATTTCCTCTCCCCTGACCCTCTGTCTCGGGTGACCACAAGTCTGATCTCTTTTTCTATGAACGTTTGATCTAGTTTTTAAGATTCCACACGGAAAAGAAGTCACACGATATTTATCGCTCTCTGCTCTTCAGTTTCTGACCACTTATGTGCCCAAGCTGCTAGGACGCATTTCATCTTCAACAGCAGTGTCCTCCAAACCTGCCCACCAAGCTGTGGTTTGGCTCCCGGTGGCAGCAGGTGCTGCATCCCTAGCCCCGACTGGGTGCACGGGGAGGACCACATGATCCAGGGGCGAGCCCTGGCATGGACAAAGGAGCCCAGACCCACAGCATTCCAGAGAGCCCAGACAGCTCCTGGCCACATGTTCCTGCCCTGGCAGTGTACTGGAAGAGGAGCGGAGAAAATGCTCTCCACCTCCCAGGCCAGGAAGGGAAAGGATGTTAACTCCTTATAAGGACCTCTGCCCACGTGTCCCTGGGTTGCCTGGAAGATGCCCACCCTGAAGCAGACAGGCTCTGCCTCACCCGCCCCCCCCCCCACCCCTTACCGGCTGAGTGACCCGGGGAGGACCGCGGCCCCTCAGAGTCCGTTTCTTCATCTGTAAATGCTTGGCTGAGGATCCCACAGGAGTGTGGGGGAAAGGGCGTCGTAGCAGGGTGCGTGGCACCCTCGGCTCACTCGTACTTCTTGGGCAAGTCACTCTGAGCCTCCCTCTTCCCACCTCTGAGTGGAATGCCAACGCGTCCCGGGACTGCTGCGGACTACAGCAGCCGGGGCACGGCCTTTGTAGCCTGTGGAGCACTGCTCTGTCTTCAAGGAGGGTGGCCCAGACACGGGGTGTCAGTGATTTGAGGCAGGGGTCAAACGCCCTCAGCCCTTCTGCGAGGCCGGGGAGGCAGCGCCGCGAGCGCGCACTTTCCCCGGGGGGGTCACCGTGATTGCTCAGCAGAAAGACCATACCGTATTTCTCCAACAATACGTTCCCTAAGGCAAGTCCCCGACTTTCTGCGGCTCACAGTGGGAGACACAGCGGCCGGTACCGGGCTCGAGGTGGGAGTGGGGGTGGAGGGCAGACCTGGCCCGGGCGGCCCCACGGGGGTGGTCCCCCCACTTCGGGACAATCTCAGGGCTTTGGGCAGGGCCCGAGGCCCGTCTCACGTTCTCACCTGGGGACCGCGCTTCAGAAGCGGCTCCCGCGGACGCCGCAAGCCCACGGCCGTGCTGGGGGGAAGGGAAATGGCTGGGGACGCCGGGCCGCGCGGGGCTGGCGGCTCCCGGACAGGGAGCGCGCGGGCGGCGGCAGAGCGCGGCGCGGACGGGGCGGGGCTGGGGGCGGGGCGGGGCGCGTGACGCGCGACGCGGGCCAATGGGGCGCGCGCCCGGGGCCGAGCCTCCTGCGAGCCTTCGCGGCGCCGGCGGCGTCACGTGAGCCGCGGGGAGTGAGCGCAGAGCTAGCGGTGGCGGGCTAGTGCTCCGCCGCAGCGACCCGCGGGCCAGCGGGCGAGCGAACCAAAGCAGGACCCGCGGCTGGGCCCGCGGCCGCCGCCGGACCGGGAACCAGGCCGTCGCCCCCAGCCCAGCCCCCGGGGCCTCAGGACCGCCGGGGCCTGGCCGCTAGCCGGGCGTGCGCCAAGTTCAGGTGGGCGAGGCTTGGGGAGGCCGGACCGCCGCGTGGACACGGCTCCGGGCGCCCAGGGGGCTGGTTGGGACACGAGTGGGGCAGCGGGGCGCTGACTGGTTGGTCGTGTGGCTGGGTGCCCCCGCCGCTGTCCCAAGCTCTGCGCGAGTGTCCGAGGAAATGTCGGAGGAGCGAGGTGAGCCCCCGATCGGGGCCAGGGATCAGACAAACTCGTGGGAGAGTGACCCCCAGTTGCCCATAGGCACTTTCCCCGCGCAGGTCCGGGCCGCCGCCTCGGCGCCTGACCCCGCGAGTCCTGCGTGCCTTGCGGGCTGGCCCTCCCATATGGCGGGCACCCGGCAGGGCCTGGCGAGAGGAGCGGACAGGCGGACACGCCGGCCGGTCGGGGGCCGGGGATGGGGGGACGGAGTGGCCTGTGGCGGTGGGGTTACTGTCGGTCACCGCAGCCTTGGCCTCTGGGGGAGGGGGGCGCGGGCCGAGGGCATGGTGCCCAGCCGGCAGCGCTCCAGGGCTCTACCGAGGGGTCTGAGCGGGTCCCCCATGTCTTCCTTTCCCACGCACCTTCCCACACCCGCGCGGGCACCCACACCAGCTCCATGCGCCAGTATGTCGGGGACACCCTCCGGCACAGTCACACTGCTGCCGCGCACCACGCCCCGCAAACGCACAATCACACGACATGAACTCACATCCCTTCGCGCACACCCGCACTGTTCACATGTCTAGTACTCCTACTACCCACGTAGAGTCCCCTGGTTCTTTCCACTGAACAGGAGCAGAACGGTGGCTAGGGGGTGGCGGGGAATAGAGGAGAGGCCACTCCCACCCACCATGGCCGTCTGTCGAGTTCCCTCTTTCCTCCCCACTGTGCTATTTCCAAAAGACCCCCCTCCCCCCAGGACACATAGGGGATGTTTGCTCGCCCAGTCCCTGGGGAGCTGACGAAAATCCCCAAATGTTTTAGTCCCTCAAATCACCTTTCCCCCAAGGACTAGGTGGCTCCTGGGAGCCCCCGCCGTCCTACAGGTGGGAGGACGCCTGGCCTCTGCGACTTTGGGGCCTGCGGATGGCGCAGGGAGCGGAGACTTTTATTTTGAAGGGCGGCCCCCACCCGCCGCCCCCGTGATTTGCACGCTGACCCAATGGCAAGCCCTTGGCCGGCGCTGGGCTTGTTATCAATTACATGTTGTTCCTGCAGCCGCTGTGTCCCCGGGAGGATAAACAGCAGGCCTGGCCCGGGGGGGGGGGGGGGGGGGGGGGGGGGGGGGGGGGGGGGGGGGGGGGGAGGGGGCGGAGTCCGGCTGTAGGCCGGGGACGTTGCCCGGAACAGTGTGTCCCCTCCCCCTGCACGCAGGCTGTGCTTCTGGCCATGCATGTACTGCTGTGTTTTAGGGCCCTAGCAGGCTCCCTCCAGCCCTGGCGGGGCCCTTTTTCTATCGCCAGCGCCTGGGGTAGCCCCAGAGCCCCTCCTCTGCTCTCAGTGCCTGAGTGTCCAGCCCAGGCAGCTCAGCCCTGCATTAAAACTCTTCTGCCTGACCCTGGCTATTCTATTCCTGGTGGAATCCCCACACTCCTACTGCCTGCCTGACTTCCCCAAGAACCTCTCACTCACTTAACCAGCAAATTCTGCCAGGTCCTATTTTAGACTCTGGGATAGTGGTGGACTGGATAGTCAGAACAGCTTGTGTTTTGGTGGGGAGGTAGACAGAAAATAAAGTACACAAACAAATAACCAAGACAGTTTTCCCCTGGTAGCAACTGCTGGAAGAATACAATGTGGGATGATTTGACAGAGGGTGGCCCGGAGAGGCCCCCCCAGGCAGTGACCTCAGAGCTGAGATCTAAATAAGGCACTCCCATTGGGAGCACTGGGGGAAGCGGGACCCACAGAGAGGGCCAGCCAGTGTGGAGTGGAGCAGGGGGAGGTGAGGTCTGGGAGAGATGGGCAAGGCCCAGGTGCATGGCTTCTGGGAGAAGAGGGGGTCACATTGCCTGGGGAAGTTAATAGAAATTTTCACCTACCCTACCCTACTATACTTTCTTATTTCCCCCTCTCTTTTTATACCATTTCATCTGTGAATATCTCAGTTATCAACTACAATACCATCATCACACTTAAAAATATTAACAGTAATTCTTTACTATCATGTAATATTTAGTTGGTGATCACATTTCAGGGGAGAGTTTTAAGTGGGCAAGAACATGGCCTGATCTGCCTCTTACCACCAGTGAAGTCCTGTTCCTAGGTTCCAGGAAGGTTTGAGCCCCCTGATTCCTTAGGATCACAGCGGAGGGACAGAAAGACCATGTGTTCACCTATTTGGAGGTTAATCCTAATGGCTGGTACTGACCAACGCCTGTGTGTGCCAGCCCCTGTAGTAAGTGTTCAACTTGTGTTAGCTCATTGAACTCTTTCAGCAACCTGGGAACTAGGCACCACTGGCAGCAACCCCACCCAACAGACCAAGACACAGACACAGAGAGGTTGCCACCTGCCTGAGACTGCCCATCTAAGTTGCAGAGGCGGGAGCAGAGCTTCCTGCTCAGAGGGTGGGTGAAAGGGGTGGTGGTGGGGCCTAGGGCCGTGTGGGCTCGTTGCCCTTCCCATTATCTGGCACTTTCATTCCTTCTCAGCACCTGATTTGGTGACTAGTGTATATTTTGAAACTCCCAGTTTTAAATCCTCAGATGAGTATTTATAATCAAAGAGCCAAATGTCCTCCTGGTAAAACTGCCCTGGGGCGCAGACTTGCCAAGGACATCTACCTTGCCTTACTTTCCTGGAGCTCCATGAAGCTTCCTGGATTAGGGGAGAACTGAGGTCACTGGGGCCTGGAACAGGTGGGGAAACTGAGATTTGGGGAGTACACAGCTGATGATGATCCTAGCTGGCCCTGAGAGGTCTCTGTCCCTGGCCAGGCTTGTTGACTCGTTGACTGTTGGGTAGTGCTGTGTGCCAGTTCCAGGAGTAGTCCTCGAGACAGAATATAGGGGTGGGTGCAGAGTGGTGACAGGCAGCAGAGAATCTCTGGTTTCAGATATAGAACGTTCCCTTTTCCCGAACCTCACTGGTCACTGGGTGGGGACAAAGGTCCACAGAGGTGGCCCCATTATAGCCGGACACTGTTGACTCTCCTTGAACACCAGACCTCGCATGGCCTTCAGAGGACACAGATGTCCCCTCTCTTCTCTGTTGATATTCTCTGAGACCCTCCTGGGCACCAACTGCCACGCCGGAAGCTGGGAACACAGTGGAGACCCAGCAGCCTAGTCTGCCCTCATGGAGTTCATGGTCTAGTGGGGAGACGGGAGTTAGCTGGGCCTTCCTGAGGTGGTGAGTGCTCCATGGGGTACAGGCCAAGGGCATCTTATCTCCCATCCCACTAGGCGGCTATGAAGTCAAAATGGGGTAGTGGCCGTGCAAGTGCTCTGGGACCTGGGTCCACTTTTGCGCTCGTGAGTTATCACCGTGGGGCAGGGTCCTGTCCACCGAGTGGTAAAGCCTCAGTGAAGTGTCTGGGTACGGTTGAGAGCATTTTGTTCTGTCTCTGCCTTTCCCAATTCACAGAGGAGTCAGGTGAGGCTGGAGGGGTCTGAGAACGGGAGGGTGGATGAGCTGCCCCGCTTCAGATGGGGAAACAGAGCCTGTGAGGACAGGTGCATATGTGGTCTCTAATCTGTTTTTTTTTTTTTTTTTTTTTTTGGCCACAAGTTAGACTTGCCTGATTAAACCATAGACTGCCAAGTTAAGGTTCAATATTCGATAAAATAATTTTTTAATATGAGCATGGCCCATTTGATATTTGGGATATACTTATGTTACAAGTTGCTTGTTTTTTAAAACCTGAAAATCAAATTTAATTGGGTGGCTTGTAGTTTTATTTGCTCAGTCTGGCAACCCTACCCAGGCCCCAACAACCACAGGGGTCAGAGGGCAAATGGCCATTCTCCTACCCCCTTCCAGTGACTCAACAAGAATGGAGCTGAGGTCAGGTGTCCTCAGCAATGCAGCCACTCCAGTTAGCTGGACGGGGTTCCCCAACCTTGGCCATTTCAGGGTACAGAGAGCCTCCTTGCATCCTTTCTTGCTCACATGCTCTCACGCTCAATCATTCACAGATACACGGGTGTTCTTTCCCTAATTGTTCTGGAAAACCTGTTTGAAACCAAAAGTACCCTGGATTGTGCAATGGGCTTGGAGAGTGCTCTTTTGCAAATAGGTGGTGCAATTTCGGAAAACACTTGCAGACAGAGTTCTCCCACGGGATGGGATGGAGACAGGATCCAGGCATTTGGCAGTGGGAGACTGTGGGCGGGCAGCAGGGTGGAGGCACAGGCCCACGAGGTGGCAGGTGAGCATGCCATCCTCCTGATCAGGCCTCCTTTGTTCCTCTCTGCAGCCGCCAACGGCACGGCCAGGCCAGCATGGTGGACCACTTGATGCCAGTGGACGAGACCTTCTCGTCGCTGAAATGCCCGGTTGGCTATCTGGGTGGCAGGCTGGCCGGTGGGCGGGCATACCACAGGCTGCCCTCGCCCCTCTCGGAGGATGACAGCGATGCCTCCAGTCTCTGCTCCTGTGCCAGCCCAGACTCACAGGCTGTCTGCTCCTGCTACGGTGGTGGCCCGGGTGCTGAAGGCCAGGACAGCATCTTGGACTTTCTGCTGTCCCAGGCCACGCTGGGCAGTGGTGGCAGCGGTGGCGTCGGGGCCAGCAGTGGTCCCATGGCCTGGGGGGCCTGGCGGAGGGCACCGGCACCTGGGAAGGGAGAGCATTTCTGCTTCCCCGAATTTCCTGTGGGTGACCCCGATGATGTCCCAAGGCCCTTCCAGCCCACCCTGGAGGAGATTGAAGAGTTTCTGGAGGAGAACATGGAGCTGGGGGTCAAGGAAGCCCCAGAGAGCAACAGCAAGGACTCGGAGGCCTGTGGCCAGCTCTCTGCCGGGCCCCACAGGAGCCACCTCCATCCTGGGTCCGGTGGGCGAGAGCGCTGCACTCCCCCTCTGGGCAGTGCCAGTGTGGGTGGCAGCCAGAGCCCAGGTGGGGGGCCCACATCTGATGGCCCCATCCCCGTGCTGCTGCAGATCCAGCCTGTGCAGGTGAAGCAGGAATCAGGCACGGAGCCTGCCTCCCCTGGGCAGGCCCCAGAAAGTGTCAAGGTGGCCCAGCTTCTGGTCAATATCCAGGGTCAGACCTTCGCACTTGTGCCCCAGGTGGTGCCCTCCTCCAATGTGAACCTGTCCTCCAAGTTCGTGCGTATTGCCCCTGTGCCCATTGCTGCCAAGCCCATTGGGTCGGGACCCCTGGGGCCTGGCCCCACTGGCCTACTCATGGGCCAGAAGTTCCCCAAGAATCCGGCAGCAGAACTCATCAAAATGCACAAATGTACTTTCCCCGGCTGCAGCAAGATGTACACCAAAAGCAGCCACCTCAAGGCCCACTTGCGCCGGCACACAGGAGAGAAGCCCTTTGCCTGCACCTGGCCGGGCTGCGGCTGGAGGTCAGTATGACAGGTGACGGGCCGGGCGCTGAGCACGGCCGGCTCGTCTCTGTTCCCTTGGGTGTGCGGTCAAGGCCTGGCTCACCATGAGATAAGGCTGATTAGCGGGGTCTGACTGGCATGGCTGCCCAGAGCTTTCCTTGTCCCTAGTGATCACTAGAGCCTGAAACCAACTGGTCTCC